CCTTCAAGGTTCACACAAGGTCTTGTTCCGTCGTTCTGACAATGAATACGTCATCAATATAATGTTTGTAGAACAAAATTCCCTTAGTTAATGAGATGACTTCTCGATGTGGTCTCGATGACTGCTAACACAGGTGCTATGCAATTACCCATGGCAAGGCCTCGTTTTTGCTCGTAAAACTTATTGTCGAGGCTCAATGATAGTGGAGCATTGCAGGGTGTGGTACCGTATCACAAACTTATGGTAGCTGACATTTTTTCAATCACCACTTTCGCTCTTTAGATATTCTCATACTTAAGCATGTATTTAAGGCAATATGTCCTTGGAGCTGTATGGGAAGGTTTCCTCAGGAGATGATAGATTTGTGGTCACCGATCGTCTTAATCGGAATGTGTATTGCATTAATTGCATCGGCATTTTCATATCGAGGACTGTTTATACGGAAAAACCTCCCACATAATCTGAAGAAAGTTGAGGCTTATCTCGAAAACGTTTCCGTAACAAGAAGGAATGAGGTTGAAAAAGTGAGTGAAGCTCAGCTCCCGACAACATACGCTAACGTATTTTTTTGCTCGGGGGATGAAGAGGGGGATCATTTTTTTCCGAAAATAAAATCTTCAAAATGGCAAGGTATTATGATATGCAGCGGGTATTTTCTGATTCTTTGCAGTGTGAAAGAGACTTGCTATTTACGGCTATTGGACCGTGGCTGCTTCTCCTTTATTGGATAACACTGATGATGTCTAATGATTTCGTAGCAATACCGGGCACTGGCCTGTAGGTTTTGCTTAACTAGGAGTTTGTTTTTGCTTTCATCGAAATATTTCATCGAAATAACCAGTAAATAAATGGCTTTCCAAACTTTACGAAGATCATATAGAGCTTCAACCAGTAATTTGTAGAAGATAAGACATATATTTATTAGTTTTCATAGGGAAATACGAGTGCACGAGAAATAATTTGTTTCGGCCCATGGGATGTGTATGATACGATTGAAACTAAGTTATTGTACATTGTCTGAAAGCATTGAAAAGAAAAAAAAGATAAATAAGAAAAACCTAAGTCCTGATTATGGTATAACTATTCTTAACCGTCTCCCTTTTGTTTATTGCCTTACTTGATTAGTTGATTGAGCCCTTTTTTTCCTAATCAGATCCGTTTTACACAAAAATACAAGAAATGATAGAAATACTATTGAGAATTGAATATAAAGAAGAATTCGCAATTAATAGTATATTTATGTGCATATATAGAAATAGCTTCAATTGCTACAAGAGTTCTAATGAGGATTATTTCAATAGAATCACCTATTTAGTTAATGGAGTTCCGAAACAGAAAATAGCATTACCAATAGTACAAATTCATATTCTCTACTGTCCTGGTTCGAACAATACATCTTTACACATTGCTTTTCCCGAACCTCAAACCACTGATGAGGCTCAGGGGAAGGCGGAGACGGTGGGTCGTGCGGAGCGAGTCATCTTTAGTCTGTCTGGTTCTTGATTTGTCTGATTATTGTTGCTTTTGAATCTCCACTGACTCCAATTTGTTACACATTACTTACTGAATAATTATTCGAGCCCTTTTTCCGTAATCAGATTTGATTTGCCGAAAATCTCCGTAAATCTTAAAACCAAAAAAATGATAACACAACCAGGCTAGGATGCTTTTGCTTACTTTTTTGTTCACTTTCTGTTTTCGTTTGTTTTTTAACCTAATCCCAAAAGTCATATTTACTTACAAGAGTTACAAGATAATAATAAACAAATGAATTAGATAAGTAGTCGCTTCATTATTTTTTATTTTATTAATTATTGAATGAATAAATTATATACATTATAGATAAGTAATCGGTAGAAAGATTTGTCTTTCAAGTGGTTGCAATATTACTGAGAGTGACCAACTGTTCATTTTCAGTTTGGCCTTATCATTTGCAGTGTTATACAGTACTTGCAACTTCATACAATCCGTTTTCACTACACCTGCAGTGAGTTTTTCCACTGATGATTTAAGAGGAGGATCAAATAAAGTAAAATCCTATTCCGTATAGTTCGAATAGTGTACACTTATTATAGAAGTACAGCAATTTCATGTGGTATTTGATGAGATACGCTCCTGCAAATTATGCGCCAAAATTCGATCCTGTGACGAGGTTCTCTCGAGACGAAGTCCTCGAAGTTCTTCATCAAAAAGAAATTGATGCAGAGAAAAGAAATAACAGCAAAGCAAAAGGATTGCTCATCTGGAATTCAACTTTTCCGGTAAATTTTCTGATTTTGAGTAGGCGTTTGAAGCACTATCATCGTTATCGGCAACAATTGAACATGCCGTGCAGGCAAGAAACTCCGCTGCCCGTGGATTTGCTTTCTGTTTTTTTGGCAGCAACGGAGAAACAATTTCCCACGACGCCTATCAGATACGATTGACGGCATTATTGAAATTCATCCTATTATTAACAGACGACTATTAAGCTCTTGATTTTAGGACTATTTGCCTACTTGTTTGCGCTCTATAATGTTGAAAGAATGGACTGATTCGTATCTCAATGCTAGGAACAGCGGAAAAGCCAAAGTGGAGGCATGCTACGTGGGTTTTTATGTCGATTTTGTTGCTCATATCATCGATACTAGAAATGCTTCGTTAAAATTAAATTCGATAACGGTTCCACTTCAATCAGCTTATTATCTTTAAAATAAAGATGAATATATGTCAAGGTTTCCAAAATTCGCCTCCAGTCGAAGTACAAGCGCCTTCATCCCACCAGGCGAGTCAGATACTGAGTAAAGGACCCAGAAGCTAACGAAGGCTACGTTGACCTGGTCGTGTATCAACCCGGAATTCGATCTTCGGACCATGCTTGTGTACGTGTGTGTGTATGTGTAGCGTGTAAGGGGTTTTGTGTGTGCCTGTGTGTGAGATCGTCGCCACTTGCCACTGTATCACTTCCATCCCTGTGCACCTCAAAGAAATGAAGATGCCTGTAGCGTGAAAAAGTAGAAGATCCGCCTCTATCTATTAGGTTGAGCAAAAGTTTTGATCAACTTTCCATCTTTTTCTAGACTCTTCCGCAACCACTCAGAAAGATTTCGTAATAGGTTATCGTAGACCGTTCTCAAGCCTGTACTTCAGGGAGAAATATAAGCATGTCTTGCAGCCGCAAGGACGACTTCAGCTTCCAATTGTCGACCGAAGCTGTATGAGAGCTATCGTCTACTACGAATTTCTGTAAGGGTATAATTTAATGACAGCTGTCACAGATATCTGTGGTGCACTCAGATGAGACATCGTATCTCAACCTACGGGTGACGAAACACCTTCAGAAAGCAGAGGAGTGGACTACATCCGAGAAATGTTTTGCTGTGTTGTTCTTCTTGCAGGTTCTCGGGGAATGTTTTACGTTGAATAACTTCGATAGGGTTGAATGGTGACCGCCAAGATATACGCTTCCCAGCTACAGAGTTTGGCCAACGCTATTCGAAGGATGCGTCTACAGCGAAAAAATGATTATCTTCTTCATGGCAGCGCTCGGCAGCACTGCGAAACTGTCTCATCAGAAAATTGCTGAACTCGGGTGGGAAGTGCTACCTCACCCTTCTTATTTGTCAGGTCTTGCTCCGTCCGAATATCATCTGTTTCTTGCACGGAGGCATCACTTTCGCGATATAGCATTTGATGGTCGCTCGGAAGTGAGCTATCTAGATTTTTTGAACCGCAGTGCAGTTCTGGGCTTCAGGAATTGAAAAAATCATGGATCATTGGACACATGTTGAGGCCCACAATGGAAACTATACTACTGATTGAGAACTTCTTTTAATGGAAATAAGAGCTCTTTAAATAAAAATGAAAATCACTTGAACTTTTTACTCAACCTGACATTTTCTTTCATTTCAACTATGATAGCGTCTTCTCTGCTTACCATGAAGAGGAGTAACAAGAGAAATATGCTTGCCAGTTCTTCACTTGTCATAAAAATCGTGGAGTTCAGGCAGTCTACAAACAGCACGTCCTTGAAATGGATCCCCACACCTTACACGGGAAGCAGACACGGTACGCTACTCTTTTAAAAAGCATGAGTTGAATTCGAAAGACTAACACTAACAACTTCGTTCTGTCCGCAAAATGTAATGTAGGCACGGTGAGGAAGGGGATATGAACTGAGAAGCTTACTTTCACTTTTGATATCGATACGATTCCCTGTCAAAAATCCGTGACGTCATTGGCTGCTTTCATAGTCCGCCGGCCGGCGTGCCGGCGCGCGTGCCGGCGGAGGCAGTGCTAGGGGGGAGGAGGGAGGCAGACAGTGTAAGGCAAACAGTCCACGCCCCTTCGAAGGTTGTTTGTTTTCAACCCCTCGAAGGGGCGTGGACTGTTTGCCTATCCGTCTGCCTCCCTCCTCCCCGCTAGCACTGCCTCCACGCCGGCACGCAGGCGGACTATGAAAGCAGCCATTGAGCGGGAGTAGACAGAGCAAGTCGGCTCTCTCTAGCCATATGAAATTCAAATCTCTAGGAAAAATCCCCGTACTGACATGGATCGAGTTGTGTCTGTAACCGCCGGGGTAATGGCATAGCATTTCAGGAAACTGTTTCTCGACTGGAATGTGCATATTCGTCAAGCAGATCCATTACCAGAACCAAAGGAAGAGCGACTGTCATTGGCAAGTCGTTCTGAATTAGCTCCAAAAAAACTCGGATCCTCTACTAATCAACCCCTCACCGCTAATATCTTTTTTTTCAAAGCTAGAACGGATCTAAAAGGTTTGTCATGGTCAAACTTGTCCATCCAGTCAGCTTGAACAGGCATTACCCAGAAATAAAATGAGAGGATATGGGAAACTTCACGCTACGAAAGAGAGTTCGCTACTACAGTACTGGTTCACCTGAGGAAATGATTATAACCTGCATTTGCAGATGTTTGCGACAGTAGCCTGCACCTTCACTGGGCTAGAAGGGCTGACGGAGAGTTTTTACGCCGACGGTGACGAAAACGAGTAGATCCACAGAATTACCGAAATTCAAAAAATCTGAACTAACCGTTTTTAAGGTTGAAGAATGTCACGACCTCTGAGTGTTATCGGGGAACCTGGACAAGATTTCAGTAGTTCCAGGGCAACCTGAGTCACTCATTAGTGCAAAGCTGCTGATTACCCTTACCATTTCGAATGATATCAACCCGTAGAGTGCCACTGAATACGTCTTCTTCTGGAATACTAAAAACAGAAGTCTTTCGAATGATTTTCGGAACCTGCATCACGAACCCTATCAGAGCCGTTTTTTGACCCTGCGCTTACTTATAAGGCCGCACCAGGAACGATCATCTTATCACTTACTCAGTCTTAAGGCGTGGCCACATTTCAGGACAAGAAGCTGAAGCACGACTTCATTGCTGCTATGCGTAATGTATTCGCTCCCATTGGCCATGAAAGAAGAGATACAGTAAGCGGAACCTCGATGGCAGTGGGTTTCTGTTTTCTTCGAAATATATTGGAAATGCCTACTGAACACTCAAGACTACGCTGGCTGCACCAAGCCAGAAATGTCCAAAACTTCTTCCCAGTCCCCATGTGTCATGACTGGTTGTTTGAATTTCCAATATGTGTGTCCCTTGTAAACGATGCAGCTTCTATAAAGCCGTTAAAACTTTAGTGTAGACCCGACCGATCCAATCTTTGAGTCCTTATATCACACTATCTAGACCGTTTTTCTATCTGACACCGCCACATATGGTATACAAGGGGACCAAGATTGATCCTGGGGGAAATTTCAGAAACTATTTGTATCCTGCACTGAGCTTCAAGTGCAAAAACTAATGATTTACAGAGCGAAGCAATCTGATAAGAAATATAGACAAGAGTAAATAAATACAAAAAACTTTTCTAGGAGAAAGTCGACTTTCATATCCCGCTGTGCTCCATCGTGACCATTGATAAACAAGGATATGTCATTCAAGTAAATGTTTTGAAGGCTCCCGTGAAGGTGAAAAGCAAAGAGGTATTTGTTATTATGTTGTGATCCCTTGCCTTCAATGACTAGATTGGGAAATAAGATCCAAATTTGGAGAAACTATTAGTGCGAGGTTCGGCAACCATCCAACCACTGTGCGAAAATAATAGTTAACTTTTTCCCCTATCGCTCATTCGGTTACGTGTACGTACGCAGCAGATAGCGAGAAGCAGATGCTTATTTTTGACGGTTATAATTGAGGCTCCACTTTTTTCTTATCTTCGCTTGTTTAGGGACGCCTCCTCTGGAAGACTGACCCCAATAACGATTTCATTGGTGGTGACAGGTATGTCAGAAAATGATTCCCATTCAAAAGGATACTTTAGAAGGACCCTCAATAGATGCAATCGCGACTGGCTCTCAATGTAGTGATAAAAACTCTTAAATGGAGAGAAACCTTGGTCGCTTTTAAGCGTGCAGTCATTTTAGTCTAACAACAAGAGTCTTCTCATAAGTGATTCGGAGGATATTTTCGTTGTAAGATAGCTGGTGTGGTGGGACGTGGCGCACTTTCACACACGACTGGTCCGCGGTTTGATCAACACTTGCCTTAGCCAAGCGAGTCTTCCATCTCGCTGTGGTCGGTTGATTGTTACCAGACTCGTTCGAGAGAATAAAAGTTCTGAATTCACATTGGCTGGCTACTGCACTGTGTAGGTGGAACACGCATTCGAAACGCAGCTACGATTTTGAATGGATGTCGAATGTGAGGCACACCCTAAAAACGGGATCAATTAACGCCAAGAATGTTATCCTTGTCTGTAGGGCCACCGGCACGACTGAAATAGGCCATTACACTTCTTGTCTTTTTCATTGAATAGACACTCGACTCAGATTTCGATTGCAATCTGAAGAAGATGGTAATTTTTTACCAGGAACCATTTAGTTATCGAATCGAGTGGTTCGTTCATTCGAGTATTTTGGTAGCCCGAGAAGATAACGTCTTCTGCATGAATCATTCTTTTTTGAGGAGCGAACCGCACTCAACTTCCGTTTGGAATCGTAATAGCGTTTGCCGTGACTTTGCGTGGCTCTGATTGAGAAGATTTGCATTGGCGGCAGAGCCACGTACAGTCCCGTGTTGGGATTCCTGATGCCCACCGCGCCTGAGGAGGTTGAGTGCGCCTGCGAATGATCGGTAGTGCATTACCTCAATCCTGACGCGGAAACAGCTTAGGACCTTCTAACCCTTTGACCACGATGATAGCTGGCTGCGAGGACAGGAAGTGATACGTATTTAACAGGGCGAAAATAGCATTTGAAAGTATAGGAGACTCTCCGGCGCGTGTCGCGTGCGCGGCTCTCGGTCAATCGCCAAACACTCATCAATGATCGATATTAGGTAGTAGCACTCCTCGATGGAACTTACTCCACTACTGTTTGCTTCAAGAATACATGTGTATTTATTTATTCAGATTTATGAACCTCGAACAATTATTCCTTAATATTTTGTTCAAGGTGTTAATAGGTTGACTCGCTTAGAAGTTTGCTTATGTTCCTAAGCTCATATAGTTACCTTCAGCAGTCGAGTGCCCTTTGGGTAAGGCAGCAGGTGTGGTTGTTCTACTTCGTTTTACCCCGATGCCGTGAAATGGTATTTTTAAACCCTCGTATGAAATGAAATTTTGTACAGGATTCCAGCAGTGGAGTAGACCAAAAGCACTGTTTCTTTCAAGAAAAACAAACAAAATGTTTTAGCCTTTGGGGATCATGGATCGTGAGAATGTGCGATGAAATGCGACAGAAGAGACGAAGGCTGCCAGCAGCACGGTTGACGAACTGACCCGTGGTTGGCGACGAAGTTGTGCACTCTAGCCTTCTTAAGGCTTCCACACTAGGCGCACAGTTTGAACTGTGGCGCGTGATTTGGACTTACTACGAGACGTAGTCTCCTCACACCCGTTGTCCAGGACCTACCGATATACAAGTTATTCCTCCCTCCTAATGGGTCCTTCACCAAACACCCAATGAGCCTTTTATCAATCAACCAACCTTGGAGGGAAAGGGGGCTCGGGTGGGCTTAGCAATTGTACATCCGGGGCTCAACTCGGATTGTGCATACGATGATGCTCCCTTGGCACTACATCACCTAAAGTATGCAAAAAGGTACATCCTGTTCCTGCAATCGTTCACATTTGCATCATTTACAAGGAATCAATTCCAGTGATCGTAATTATGAATGGGCTATGACTAGTGATGAGAAAATTGAAGCTGCAACTGAGGTGACTAGTTTTTAAATTTATTTTAGCTAGTGTTGATGTTATAATCAAATACATTGATTATGGTAATGTCGAAACTCAGGAGCAAGCAGACACAGTCTGGGATATGGCTGTTCAAAACCACGATTTCATTCAATACTCAAAAGCACTCAGAATCTGATCGATGGAGGAATCGTCTTGCTTTTCCTAATTCGCATTGTGTTGTGTTTATGTCGACAGTAGAAAGCAAGTTTTGCAAAACCAGTCAATAAATATTTGTGCAAATCGTTCGCTCCTCTGAGTGATTTTGGGCAAAAAAAATCCCATAACATTTTAGAGATGTCATTGAAATGACCGTGGCCAAGAAAGTAAAGTTGGGTGACGGCACATCTACTCAAATTCAGCGGCAGTGACATGGGCAACGCCCATGACATAAGTTTCGTTGAAGAAGCTTAGACCGTGACAGATGATGACTGGTACTATACTCAATGTTATGTTTTGCCTAGGTATATTCCTTTTCCAATCGTAAGTGTGAGCAGCCGGATAGCAGCTGTGTAGTTGGTATGGTTTCATTTCATTCCTTTCATTCCATTACATGGTGGCCGTTGCTGTTCTGGTGCTATATGAGTCAAGAAATTGTCGAACAGGTATATGATATCGTGGGGTAATCTTCACCTTCTGGCAAGGTACAGTACCACTAGCTTTTAGCCAGCCAAGGAAATGCCAGAGATGACGACAGTAATTTTAAAAATGACGAATCTACGGCTACACGCAAGTGGTGTATTCAGCAATGTTTACCGGTAGGCATATTTCTCCGCTTCAAAATCTTTGGTACCCTCTGTCAGTGGGTAGAAGAGAATCCTAACTTTTTCTAGAACCTCCGCCCCCCCCCCCCCACTTTTCGCCTCTCACGGAACCAATAGTTGCCGATGTTTAACGTTACTTACTCAATACTCTGATAGTTTATCGGCTGGCAGTCCTCTCTGCAGGGACCACAGCTCTTCCATCGACCGATCTCTCGCGACTGCATCATATGTAGGCCTCTTCTGAGTAATTTGGAGAGCGAATTGGTTCACCGAGTTGGTGGTCGATGTTATCGTTATCACCCATGATACCCAATGCTGTTTTCAATTACTCAACAGGCAGATACAACCGAACTTACTGTCATCTGTAAGCATAGCCGGAGCTTCCTCCAAGCCTAGTTTTTTTACCATCACCAAGCAAAGCCATAGACAAAGAATCAGTACCTTGTACATGGGGGGATGAGAATACCAAGGGGCTATGCTGGGTGGTGCAATGACCAGGTTTTCCGAGAAATTTTCATACCGATTGCTCATCCCTTCCCATACGGACAAAGGGGCGTTTGACAGTTAGAAAGGGGGCCAATTTCAAGGGAGAACAGGGGAAACTCACAAACAAAGTTATATTTATCAACGTCATTCCTGAATCTGAATTTGAGTTATGGGTGGGCTAGCGAAGCTTCACAATACACTATCATTCCCCTTTATCTCCTTGGGAAACAGTTTAGTGAATGATTTTGAAGAGGTGACTGCTCCCCATGCTGTTAATCTCTATGCTTTCTCAGTGAAAAGGAAGACATTTTCCTCTCACCACACGACATGTCAAGGATTGCGTAAATCGAAATGTGCAATATTTTCGCTCCCTACCCTCCCGTCATGAACCTTTCTCAAGTTATTCCTCTGTGAAGCAGCGGGGTCGATAAATGTTCAAAGTTCATTTCCACGGCTTAAATTACGTGGTCCCCTACATTGCGTGCACATGAAAACTAGTCTGGAACTTCCTATTTTTGAGAAAATAATTATTTGTACGGGCCAGAAACGTTTTCAGCGGAACTGTGTTGGAACCCAAACCACAACGAGAAATTGCAATAAAAAAGACCTGGCCAGGTAACATTGATAGCACTTCCAAAATTTGCTAGGAGGTTTAAACTGATGGTAGCTATTTTCAGAGAGCAAAGACAGGGAGCGGAACTTTGAAATGATATTTTTAACTGGTATTAGTCGAAAGAAACATAAAAACATTGTTCAAATGATATTTGCTTTTTCTAATAGAGTGGGCAAAGATAACAAAGTAAGCCGAGCAGCAAACGTATATACTTTTTTCTGCCTACGGATAAAAGTGAAAAAAGATGTTCCTTGAGCGTTGATCAATCCCACTATGGATGCGACTCAAATCAACCGACTCCGTACGGAAGTAAGGCTTGGTTTCTCCGGGCGGGTATCGATCCGAAGTTCAATCCAAAGACAATACATATGTACTTGTGATAATGCGCCCCTAGACGCTCTACAACTTTCGTTCAAAAGAGAGTTACTAGAATTTAAGATGCTCATTTCTGACAATGCATCAGAGTTTGCGGAAACACTTGGAGATAATATACTGATGACGGAAGGTGGAGTTCTCGTGGCTAGAATCGTGGCTCCCCTGCCATCGTTCCTTATGGCGGAGGTGGTGTAGTGGCAAGTGGCACCCTATCATACAAGCATGCTTACGGATTCGAATCCCGGATCAAGTTCCGTCGAGGCCAAACAAGCCTTCCATCCCTTCGGGGTCGATTAATTGGTACCAGACTCGCCTGGAAGGAAAAAAGCGATGACTTACATATCGGCTGGTCATTGTATAGGACGCATACGTATACAATACGCCACTAGGATTCTGGATGGAAGTCGAATGCGGGGCGCATCCTTCAGACGGGATCAACAAACACCCAAAGACTTTATCCTTCATCTTAATCGTTCAATCTATCGACCAGCAAAAATTCGTTCAGATATGTGAATCATTTGTTTTTGACTTCTTACCTGATACACTTGCATCAGTTATAAAACGAGAAGTGCTCGATGATACAGACATTAAAATTTATACTTGGCAATTATTTAATGGGCTTCGCTATTTAAGTATGGTGAGTCCTTCTCAGAGGTTATCTTGTCCTGAAGTTACCGTTTATACTTTCCTTTTCAGCATCAAATAGTTCACCGTGATATAAAACCTTTAAATGTGCTCATAGATCATCCACTGGCACTACTTAAAATTGGTGACTTCGGTTCAGCCAAAATCGTTAGGAGGTTGATGAAATCAACGGCGTATCAGGTATGAGAGCTCCAGCGTGGCGAAAAGCTTAGCTTGAGATTGTCTTTTCAGGTGACAAGATTTTATCGCCCTCCCGAACTGCTGTTGGGCTCAGAGTATTACAATTGGACCGTCGGTTTGTTCATGTTGTTCATATTAATGTCTAATGCGAAGCAACTACCACGCCTAAGCCTACCTATGTAATTCTAAGATATAACTCAGACGAAACAACTATAAAGTTGGCACAAAATTTCCGGGCATTTTCGAATAATTGCAGTCAAAATCTTTTGAGTATCACTGGAGCTCGCCATTCGCCTGGGAGTGACATCAACTTTCGCAATCCGCAAGGGAAAGGTCATCCAGCTCATGCGCTCGTTACTTGTCACGGAAATGGCGTCAATTTCACAATAACCGTTCAAGCCCATGTGTATTCTCAGAAATAACCTCTTAGAACTATTTGAAACTGAGGCTGTCAGAATTAATCATTTCCGGGCAAGGAATCTAAAAGACCACGGACCATATCAGGTTGAATAAAAATGTTATTTTCATGATTTNTTTCGAACAATTAGGGTGGGTACTGTAGGACAGAAGAAGTGAATAAAACTAAAAACTATAAACTATCGAACGAAAGAATAACTAACTTCAAATGTTGCAGATTTGTGGTCAGCTGGTTGTGTGGTTGGAGAGATGCTCCGTGGCAATGTGCTTTTTCCTGGACGACATGGCAGACATCAATTGAAACTGATTTTCCTATGCCTGGGCAGTCCAACTGACGAAGATGTTAAGCTTATGAAGGTTCCAACGAAAATTGTTTCCAATGGACGGGTTGTGATTGGAACTGGTCTAGCACAGGTAAGCCTTCCATTCTGTATATCGCGTTCCCTGAAATGAGTACTGTTTGAGCACTGAGTTCCCACAAAATCTGATTTCAATTCGTTTCAGCTATGCCCACATGCTGACCAAGGAATGCTTGAGCTCCTTGCAAAAGTCCTCGTCTACCGCCCTAATGATCGCCTATATGGGCGCCAGCTATTGATGCATCCTGCATTCGCGTCAATACTGAAGTTGATTTTATTAAGTGTTTCCAACTCATATTATGCCTTTTTAAAACTGAACATTGCAGAGAGGGAACGAAAAGATCTAACGGACAGTTAGTATCGACTGTAATAACTCCCGAAGATATAAAAGACGTTGAGTGAGTCCCTACTCTATGAATTGAAAGTTTCCTCGAAGAAAGAAGAACGACGTGATCGGCCTCCCTCATCTTCCTTGATAGTTAGATGGATTCCCTGATGGAAGACTTGGGCTTGCCAGCCGATGTCCAAGTCAGTGCATTCATCCTCACAGACGGAGCTGCTACCAAATATCCGACGTTGGGGAATGGAAGGGTCGACTGGCTTGAGAGACTATCAATCCACGATTCTGACGAGGACCATGCCTGAGTGGTAATGCGCTTTTTGTATCTTCATCGTCCACATTACTTGGTGCGTACTATGGCCTCTATTATGATGAGCCCCGAGTGACAGTAGGAAGAAGGGGTTCGTCCGTGTGGGGCGAAACGAACCACCTACCGGAATCTTAACATATAGTTGATGATTCCTTTAGAATAACAACTCGAATACGTAAATAAAATATGGTTGGCCGGATATTCTGTCTGGGCGAGAACGCCTGAGCCTCTATGAGGGGTAGCCAACCAGACAAGGAAAATTCACTTCATGTTGATATCCGAGTTCCCGAGCGACAGTGAGCTTCAGACAGGGTGGGAAGTTACATTCATTGTATTCAAACTTGTTTTTTCATCGTTTTTGCCTATCTTCCTTTTTGTTGATGAGCTACCGAGCCTGGAATACCTTATTGGTTATGGTTTGACCAGCATGGCAGTTGCTGATTCCAGTTTTCATTTCTTTTCCCCCTGAAGCTTGAATCATATTCGTCCACACTCCTTTCTACTATGACCTTATAGGGACGACACGGGGGACAAAGTGGTAGAAATAGCAGTTACTCATGAAATGAAGAGGAAACTCGACTTCGCCTGTGATGATATCCGAAAACCATCGAAAACCAAAGTGAAAGTTGTCTCAGTTTCTACTTCGAGTCATTTCAAAAACAAAAACTCTTCTGACACTTTTTTATAGCAAAGAATGGTGCCTTCCGAAAAGAAATCACCTCCAACGTCTAAAGCAACCGAAGAAGCCACTCAAGCAACTATGTCTTCAATCGAACAACCGATGCCTGTATGTCTTTCTCGTCCCACTTTTGTAAGAACACTTTATGTATAAGACCATATAAAAAGCAAGCTGAGGGTAGGTATGCCTAGACCCACAAACAGACTGAGACTTATGCTAGTTCTTCACAGGTTGTTCAGCATGTCGGGCGATGGAATCTTCCCACTGCTACCGATCCCGTGCAATAATTGCATCAGGCTCATAGAATGGATGTTCAAACGGGAATTAAAGGAGAAATGCGAATTTTTCTATGCCAGCAGTGAAATGAGAACCTCATGTTTCGTGTGGATTGGGAGGAAAACCATGGAGCAACCGCAAATCCAGTCCCGAAGCTGCGAAAAATACTCCTAATTGCTAGCTTCAAGAACTGCATGGAGAAAGTAGTTTCTAGATCAAAAAGGGCTCACAGAGAGATTCCTGCCTTTTTTGGACTCAGCTCCGAACTCGTTCAGCCCTACACGGATTGTGGCCACGCCCCTATTGTGAATTGCGGCGAGACCAGTTCTATGATAATCGATGTTTTAGGGGGATCAATAGCCACGAAAGTGGAATTCTGACTGGAATATCATTCCTGCATCAAAATGTCCTCGAACATCTATTCATTCTCTCCAGTATTGAGCGAAAAACTCATCGCACGCTCGTTAATAACCACATGCGTGATTTGGAGTGTCGTAGGCTAGAAATCACTGCGGAGGTGGAGTAGTGGCAAGTGGCGCACTATATCACACGCACGATCAGGGGTTCAAATATCGGATAGATGCCCTCCTAGGCCAACCAAGCCTTCCATCCCTTCGGGGTCGGTGAATTGGTACCAGACTCGTCTGCGAGGATAAAAGCACTGACTTGTACATCGGCTGGCCACCGCAAGTCATTGTACACATAGCTACGATTCTGAATGGAAGTCGAGTGCGGGGACGCATCCCTTGGAAGGGATTAATTAACGCCAAAAGCTTTAACTTTAACTTTAATTGAAATCGTAAAGGGAAATAAATATTGTATAGTGCCCTGAAAATCAGGCGTATTTAGGCCTGCGCAATTATCTCTATATTTTTTTAGGCAAGAGCTCCGAAGAAATCACCACCGAAATGAAGCGATGAATTTCAGTGTAACTACGTTCATTATCAACATCTTAAACCGAAACCAAATTACATTTGAAAAAAATCATTACAAATAAACATTTATTTTTTACTTTACGGATAATTCTGCTAACTAAAGCTCTGTAATTTACAAATGATCACAAATAAATGCAAGTTCTCAAAAACTGCCATATTGGCTTCAAAATAGACCCGTGACTTATTGCATTAATAGAGAGATCTGAGCAAAACTAAATTTTTGTACAAGAATCGATGACGGAAGTGATGATCACGGGTTTACATCTACACATGAAAGTATGAGAAGCGGTATTGTGGTCCTGGACACGATCGGGTAGTTACTGTAGCCACAATCAATCAATGGTTGTTGCTTGTCGATGCAACAGGGCACGTCGGAGTCGTTCACCATCCATAGTATCACGTCGGCCTTGGATTCGATCGACGATTTCCCTGAAAATGATGATTGGGGTCTGACTGATGACTAGCTGTTGGCCTGGCTGGAAGAGCAAACCTGGCATTTCTTAGTTGTTCACCATCCATGTGCTCCAACAAAAAGGCGAATGTCTCCTGTTGGTTGTAACGGAATGCGTCTGACACAATTCTGAAAATGATGAATCATGATTAAAGACCGAAAAAGTCAATTTTACCAACACTATCCAGCCGTAACAGGCTCTACGTGAGTATATGGAGACGGATTATCTACTGTTTTGAAAAAAAAGACCCAGCAGGTATGAAAGTTGACAAATAATTTAAAAGAGACCGAAAGTAGGCTAGCCGATCCCGGTGAACCGATTCGGTCTGCACCTCAAGCTGTGAGACGGAAAGGTATACATGGACACCTGCAAAACTTTTGTTCCCAGAATTTTAAAATCTTTTGGAATTCCCTCTGGACATGTGCACGTAGATACCACGTGTGGGAACTTTCCAGGAGCTTTCACATTACACTATAGATTGAAAAAGTGTCTTCAAGATTTCACGAAAAATGTGGGGGACGTCGAAATATGTGACTGGGGCACGGCGCAATTAGAGGGCCGAATCAGGGCAATGCACAAGTTCCAAAAGCACAATTCACGGCTTTAACTTCATAGAAATAGCGCAACATGTGTAAGTAAGTAACCCTACTCAACTGTGCACCTTTAAATTTGCGGGGCGGGGTTTAGGAATAATAGGGTCGAGGTGGGCCGAGTGTTTGACTAGTGAACTCTTACTGTGCTGATTTCAAACCATATTTGGACGTCACAACAGAGTATATCTACTTCTCATGGCAAATGTTGGTATATTGACTGATGGATGTACTGATCTAGTTGTATCAGCTCCACTCTTTGCTAAGCAGCACCTCGAGGTGGTTCATGTTAAACATCGTAAGGATCCACCTGAAATTCTCCATTTTGAGTAGACGTTTTCGTAGCTCTGGACAGCAATTTTCCAGCAGGAATTGAAATCGCTTTCGAAATTTGTTTTCCACCAGAACGTCGCTTTCCTCGTTCTGTAATTGAACTATTTCAAATTAAGAGTTCCGTTTGTTTTGAGCACCAGTCGGCACCTCCATCCAAAAAAAGGTGGAGATAATGGACCGCTGAGGAACTCACATTGATCGAATTGTAAAAGGTGTCAAAGAAAGCGGTCCACGATATCCGGGCTACACCAACTGGATTCATACGACATAGTCGAGTGCAAAGAAATTGCATGGTGTCTCGATCGCGAGCACGAAAACACATTGAACGCCATTGTAGCAAGCCTGAAAGGAGGTTTTGTGTGTGGAAAACTGGCACTGATTGACGGGACAGGTCTAAGCACAGGCCACTTCGCTTTTTACTTTTTCTGGCTATTTGCACGCCTGAAATGAGTTCTGCTGTTGGGCTATTTGCACGGCTAAAGTGGTTTCTGCTATTTCATTGAGAGCTGCCAAATTTTAAAAAATTCTGCTTTCGATACTCATTGAATCAGTATAAAGGATAAAGCCTTTAGAATCAATCTATTCCATTACTAAAATGCGCCCGACATTCGACTTTCATTCGCAATCGCAGGGGCGATTTGAATGCATTGTAGACTATGTGACTTCCAGTGGCCAGCCGATGCTCAAGTAAGTGCTTTTCAACCTCCTAGACGAGTCGGGTACCAATTGATGGACCAGGGAAGAATGAAAGATTTGTTGACCTAGGTATCGGTCCAGGATTCGATCTCCAGATGATGCGCGCGGGATAGTGCGCCGCTTCCCACTATACCACACGCGCCTTTGTCAAACATGAAGAGAATTGTTCAGGAGTGATGATAAACCTGCTGAGAATGATAATTACCATTCTGTTCTCATTCAGAAGCTTGGTTAGCCTAAAAAATGTCGATCTGGGGCGGATTCAACCCTTGGACCCTTGATGGTGCGCCCCTTTGCACCATCAAACCAGCTTACCGAAAAAACGACATCATATGAAATTTCGCGTGTAAACTAATATAAAAATACATTATAAAGTGGTCTGAAACGAGGTCTGCTACCCTAACGATTCAAAGTTATTCACCTATGTACTCCTTTGTGTTGTCGCCAATCTTCTCCCAGATATACTCCACAAGTTGACAGTAACCATGGCGGATAGCAAATTGAAAGCAAAGCGTCAGCTTCTGATTCGGTACGCGTGTCTCTGAATAGAAAATTTATTTCCAAGAATATAGAGACAAGAAAAAATGAAAAAGAAGGTAACAACACGGAGAATAATATCATTAAAAAATAATAAAAATAAAGCAGAAGATGATGAAACATTGATTACGACTGTGACTCACCTGTGTCGAAGAAAATCTCCCAGTTGCTTTCGAGTAGCGTCAGCCAAAAATCATAAACTGGATGATCGCTTAGCTGTTTTCTGAAATCGGGAGTGAAATTATAAAGTCTCCTTTTTTACTGTTTCACACTCTTTTCTTTTGGCTGAACAGCATGCTGTAGAATGGCCGTATTTGTACCGGCTCCCGACAATCGACAAAGATCTCCTTAGCGTTAACCGCATCCTTCCCTGGAAATCCTGATCTTCCATTCTGTGATCGGATGCTGCCGCCTCGCTGTTTGGGTAGAGGAACCCACACCAAGTGAAGTTCAGTTCAAAGAAAATTCGCAAATCTACCGATCCACCGAAGGAGGATGGTGCAAAAGCGGCACACCGTTCGGGTAGAAGATACCACACCCATCACTGTATAGCGCTTTCATGGCTATCGATATTTTGAAATGTGACTCAATGATTTAAAAATTTTATTTGGGTTCTTTTGCCTATTAATACTATATTTGATAATAAGCTAGGAACTGACATGGGCAATGATCTGATCGGAATAGCCATGTAAAACTATAGATTACAGCTAAGCATTTGCACGGATCCAGATATTTTAGCCTCAGAATGAGGACCACACCCCCTTCCCTCACTATGAGGAGAGATTTCCATTTCTTGTTGTTTGCAGAACCTTTCGAGAAAGACCAGCCGTCAAAGTGATATTAAAGAAAGAAAACAGTATAGTGATGTGAACAAACTTACTTAAAAGTAATTCGGCGGTACTTGTCGAATCGCGATTCATCCTCAATCAAGTCTGTCATAGCATACATGCAAGCTAATTGAAATTGCATTTGAGGCCAATTTGAGCATTCAGTGGCGATCAGATGACGGGCAGAAGCCAGATCGTCTACTTGAATTCTGAAAATAGAACTGGTGGTGAGGTATAGCTGATCATGAACAGTTTATTCCGAAACCATTTAGTTGGTTCTTCACCATTTTTACGGTAGGATGCCGAGTGATATTGCATAGCCCTATTCACCAGTCTGGAACTCATCCTTAGGTAATTCTCCTAGGAAGACCATGGTAAGGCATTTAACCCAGGATCGACCACATGCTCACCGGCTGATGGTGATTGCAGCAACTTCTCATCATACAGACACCCAAAAACGACAATTTGTTGGGGCATAATCATGAAACGGGACTGCCCAACCCCTTTGGAATCATTCACAAATCTCCAGATAACCTTGGAAGCTTTCTTGGGAAAGCCATGTGTAGACCAGCCGAATTCATGTGACTCGCACGAGTTAACTTAATGAGCTATTGGTTATTCTATGCCTCTATAAGGAAAGAGAAACAGCCTCATCTATCTATCATAACATATGGCCAGAAAGATTGTATATGAACGGGCAGTTACATCGCTTTGCTGGTAATCAGTCAGTCGATCAGTCTAACTAGATGGTTTGTGAACGTTTTTTTTTTT